AGTCTGCAAATAACTATTATCTTATGAATCTTAATTTTTTTCTAATCACTTCCGGTGGCGCAAGTTTTGCTCCAAAAGCTCGCGCATAGGCTTCTATTAAATGCTGATTATCTCGAAAACAAGCTCGGGACACCAATTTTTCTTTCCAGACTTGGAATCAGCATTAAATTTCAATTCGGAAAATCGAAGTTTAAAAAAAAGTTTAAATCGTTTTCCAAAAGTAGGCAGTCGCCTTAACATATCTTTTTATTCCCTATCAGCTGTTTACGCGGAAACCAGGGTCGAATTACAATTCTCGTGCAGTCTAGGTTTCTGACTTCTACTACCCAAAGCTGGAATTAATGCATTGTTTTCATTCTACATTTTATTGGTTCTCTTCTCTAACTTTCTAAGTGGCCTCGGTTACATTAGTTGCACTGCAAAGCGCTAAAACGCCCCTATCAAACATTCGCCCCGGCAAAATCGCAACAGGAAACTTATGCGAAGGTCTAGGATCCAGCTAAGTCGCACTTGCTGACATATGCCACGTYTGCGCGACCTCATTCAGTTCAGTCAAACAAAGTTTCGGGCCAAAACATTAGATACGAAAATGTAAAACACTTAATTAAGGGGGCTTTTATTTATTAGCCCATGGGGGGTGGGGACGGCAAAATTGTAGGGGCCGGTTATTACGTTATTTTGATAAAGTGATTATGGGTGATCTTCACATATTGAGAGGGTTGAGAACTATCGCAAATATGAAAGTGGGGTTATGCAGTTGTTGCCTCTACCATGGATGGGGTTTGGGTTATGTTGATAAAGCCTCCTTATGATTTTGCAAACTAACCCCCCTCCCCTAATTTTGCAAGGTCAGTTACAAGATTGTGGACAAAAAGAGTCCAAGATAGTAAAGTGGGGCATGGGCCGAGCAGCGAGTAAACGAGTTGGTCTAAAATAGGGGACCCTGATCTTATTGATTTAGCTGGTGGGTACCGGTAAATGCCCCTCCCCTTCATATCACCTGTTAAATCAGCGAATGCACGATACTGAGCGACTTGGGGTCCCGTATAAAAGACATCGACAGTACATCACGCATTTCTGTGTTTTGAATTTTAGTTTGAAAGATATTTGAAGATAATGAAATATCTGAGTTAACTGCAGGGCTGTCAACTCTCCCGGATAAACCGGAGGTCTCCAGATTTTGGACCGTATCTCCCGGTCTCCAGATTAGAGTCTCAAATCTCCCGGATAATCCCCGAAGCTGACCATTTCCTGTGAGACTCGACTTGCACAACCATAACATTCCGATTATTTTGTGTTGTTTGTGTTATTATACAACGCTAACAAAATCAAAACGTTCCTCATAAACTGTTCTTGCAAGCAGGCCATTGTAATAAAAGCGATAATCTGATTGGTCAGAAATAAACCAATCACATCAAATGTTACAAAGCGAAAGATGTCTTTTTGCGCGCTTTTTGACGTGCTGTGACGTCATGCCCTTCCCTATCAATTCTCCAGATTTGAATATCTCGGGGGTTTACAGCCCTGTAACTGGTCTTTTTATAAGCAAAAAAACTCATCCAGGAGGTCTATATATATCTATTTACACACATAATTAAATTACATGGAGTACTAAATAAAAGTAATTATAACAAATACATTAGCAAAATGGCAAAATAGAAGATGATAGAGTTGCAGCAAAAAAAATTAAGAAAGCGACTTCCTTTATTGCGCCAGCGTTAAAGCAAACTGCGGTAATCCCAATGATAAGCATGCGCGAGTTCTACAGTAATGGCGTCGGGATTCAAAATTAGCTGATTCGACCAGACAAGAAAAATATCCCCATTTAGTTCTTATTTCACTCCAAAATAGCGCAATATTAGAATAAGGACACATGAGGAATACCACTGCTATGACAGAACTACTATTTGATTTCCAGGGTTGTCGGTTTGGCGAGAACGAGGGCTGACTTAATCAAGAACAGCTGAAAAGTCTGTCGAGAAGAGGGAAGTGATACGCTTTGCTTGTTGACGATGAATTAATTACTCTATTGTTCTCTCAAAATCATACGATGCCTCACCAGTTACGATGACAGAAAGTGATATTTTTAACGTAGTACTAGATTTTAAAAACGTGGGATGCTTCTGAGGGTTAATACTTTCACGTCAAGACGCCTTACTATTGCTTTCTGTCAGAACAACTAGAACTACTGTAGTGTTGCATATATATGATAAAAAAATTCTTGGACGGATCTACTGTCAAATTGAGGAAGTAAAAACACTGTGGTCATAAGACTGGGATACTTGTACTATGGAAGACGATATGGGATCAGAAGAGGAAGCTATAAAAGAAGACTCTACTAGTGAATTGATCGCTCTATTGTGGTATAAACATGGACTATTTTGTGCCACCCACCCTAAACTTATTATATTTCTATCTGCAATCGTCGTTATTACATGCAGGTAATGATACATGTATGCCTACTCCACATAAACCTATACTTATATTATTTTAATCATCAGATTTCAAGTTTTGGAATGCTCATACAAATACACTGGATGAATGCAAATTAGACTAAAATATAAATGGATGTCTATTTTCTTCTTCTAGTGCTCCACTATTTCTGTCTCCAGGATTCAACAGTCCAGCAACAGAAGAAGGAAGGACTACGTCTATATTTCCTGGCAATGAAAGCATTAAACCACACTGGGTAAGAACAAGTTAAGAGGTTGCGATATCCAGGATCAAATACATAGTGTTACAGTATACAGGGGTGGATCTAGGGGGTGTTCTGCGGTGAACCGTCACCCCCTAATGCTGTTTACGATAACTCTTATACTTTTTCCATGGGATACATAATCCCAGGGGGCAGGGGGAGAGGGATGGGGTTGACTCCAAGGTAGAAGTATCAGGTATGCTTGTTGAAAAGTTCCAAAAATACCCCTAAGAGATACCAAAGGGAGTGGTTGGATGATTTAAAAATAACATGCAATTCAATTTATTTTGCACAATTATTACAATTAATTATATTTACACAAATGAACTATTATTACATTTACATATTACAAGTATATGGGTGATTTTTCAACCCTAAGAGATACCTTAAAAGATGCCATGATATGCTGAAATTCCAAATTTCATTTTCAACACCCTAAAAGATACCAAATCGCTGAATTTTACCCCTAAGAGATAAAAATAAATAAAATAAATAGATCACTTTATTTAAGTGTCTAGTCGTTGTAGTGCTTTCGCACTAGTTGGGAACACTTTTCACTCACACACACACTACCACTACATTTAATATTCTATGCACACAACGCTTAACTCACATGTTGATTTTTACAGAGGGAGGAAACCGGAGAACCCGGAGAAAACCCTCGTAGCATAGGAGAGAACAACACATCAAACAAACTCAATTCACATTATTGTTCTCACATCCTGCAACAATATTCTCATCTTATATGACACTTGAGCTAAAATAATTATATTTCCTCCTTAAAATATGACTAGTTTGATGGAAAGCCACTGATGTATGTAGTACAGTTTGTGCTTACCAGTCATCTGACTCAATGGATGACAACATTTCAAAGTAATGAAGTAATGAGAGAAGCATTGAAGCCTGCCTTCCTTGTTACAAAGGCAATTTCCAAATTCAAGGACAAGCACAGGTAAAGATTTCTTTGTTTGAGTTGTATCTATATTCGTGTGTCTTCTTAAACAAAGTCAATGACAAACGTGGGTCTTAAATGGGAAAATATTATGCCCAGGTTGAAAAGGTCTATTCCAATTTGATCTGTGAGTTAGCCATGTCCTGACTGAGATCAGCCCAGAGGTTGTTTCAGGGTTTGATCTGTGAGTTAGCCATGTCCTGACTGAGATCAGCCCAGAGGTTGTTTCAGGGTTCTGTCTGTGAGTTAGCCATGCCCTGACTTGGATCAGCCCAGAGGTTGTTTCAGGGTTTGATCTGTGAGTTAGCCATGCCCTGACTGAGATCAGCCCAGAGGTTGTTTCAGGNCATGCCCTGACTTGGATCAGCCCAGAGGTTGTTTCAGGGTTTGATCTGTGAGTTAGCCATGCCCTGACTGAGATCAGCCCAGAGGTTGTTTCAGGATTTGATCTGTGAGTTAGCCATGCCCTGACATTGAATCAGCCAAGAGTTTGTTTCAGGGTTTGATCTGTGAGTTAGCCATGCCCTGACGTAGATCANTTTCAGGGTTTGATCTGTGAGTTAGCCATGCCCTGACATTGAATCAGCCAAGAGTTTGTTTCAGGGTTTGATCTGTGAGTTAGCCATGCCCTGACATAGATCAGCCCAGAGTTTGTTTCAGGGTTTGATCTGTGAGCTAACCATGCCCTGACTTAGATCAGCCCAGATGTTTTAGGGTTGAATCTGTGAGTGAGCCGTGGCCTTACTTTGATCAACCTAGAGGCAGTTTTAGGGTTCTATCTTTGAGCTAGCCTCTGATTTTCTTCAGCCCAGAGGTTATTTTGGGGTCATTTTATTTTTAGGTTTGACAAAATTAATTTGATTAAATTAATTTGATTTGAGTGTTATTTCATCTTATTTTAGTGGTAAAGGAATGCCTAGCGTTTGTCTTAATGTTACATCTGGACCATTAATAAGACAGCGGTCAGGATTAGGACTTCAAGATGGTCAGTTTTTACCAGACAAAGGATGTCTGTTACTTTCTCCAGCTAATTTGTGGAGCAAAGACATTGAAAGGTATACACACGTCATTCAGACTTGCTTGTTTATTGAAGTAATATTTCAAACACGCGAGAGAGTTCTTCCTTTGATTTCCAAACAACGAAAAGTGAGTTGAAAAAGCGCGAGTTTTTTAACTGACTTTTCGGTGTTTGGAAATCAAAGGAAGAACTCTCTCAAGTGTTTCAAATTACATCTAAAACTCATGAATATTTCTTGGAGAAAATCAAAGAAAAAGTTTATGAAATTTAATGCAAATTAAGAACACATTTCCAAACCACCTTCACAGGAAAGCTGTTGTCTATTCAACAGTATTCCATTATTCTGCTGTGGTATTTCTGTGGTAGATGGTGGAAGAGGGAGAATGAGAAGTGGGTTAAAGGAAGGGGGGATGAAAGAAGGAAAGATGACATTGTTGTTCTCTTCCTTTTTTTTTCAATTTCAGCTTCTTTGTTTTTTATTCAATTTTTGTCTTTTTTTGTTTTAGATTTTCCAGCGACACTGAAGTGTTTGACAATTTATATCAGGAGTATGGAAGACCTGCTTTCAACATTGCACTAAAAGGTAAGTTATGTACATGTACATGTACTATTACTGTATTATGTATTATAACATGGATACTCCCATAAGTTTCTTTTTGACTACTTTTTGACAAAGTTGAATTGTGCTCTTTACTAAAATATTGCATGCACTTAAAAGGTAACTTATATACATATACATGTACTATTACTGTTCATGTACTATTACTGTCCTATGTATTTTACCATTGATACTCCCACTTGTAAGTTTCTTTTTGACAAATTTTTGACAAAGTTGAATTGTGCTCTTTACTATAATATAATCATTATAGTACCAAAGAACTACTGGGCACTTACAAGTTTGCTTCTCTGAGTTTCGCTGTAACATATCTAGCAATTCTAATTTGCTTTTATTTTTTACTTTAGAATTTATTTTTGGTACATCACTAAAGCAGACTGGTTTGTATCCTAAGATGCAAGGCAGAGGATCTGACCTTGATGTTCAGTATGCTATCACATTGATCATGACATCTCACCAGCCCAGGTACTGTATGTAATACTGACTGCACATCAATTGATTCACTCTGTGTCCTGGGACAAGCAATTTTAACTCCTCAAATTTGGGTCTATAACATGGATATGGATGCCAATAATGATTTAATATTTCTTCAAACTCCGACATTTCAACAGCTTTTTCGTGAATAGCCAAGAATATAAAATTAAAGTTAGCAACTGATTATTTTTGATTAAAGGCAGTGAAAAATCACCTTTCAGCAGTAAGCTCTGTGAACCAAAGTGAAATAAGTTCTGGGACAAATCAAATAAATTATGACTTTATTCACTTGAGCTTGGCCTGACAAAGGTGTTAAGTGACTTGTGTAGTTTTAACATTTAATCCATAACACATCATATTGCCAAGGAAACTGTGACCACTATCATTGAAATAGTGTTTATCATGGTTACTAAAAATAGATATTGCAAAGCCTTGTGGGAAACGTTGTAAACACATGATTAATATTATCAGTCACACTTTTAACACTAATACACATAGTCACATTCACAGTTCCTTGCTCCAGCTTGAAAGGTAACGGTGCTTGTGCAGCAAAGCAGGGACAGCAGTGACCTTGCAATGATAGAGAGCTTTTTAAACATCCCCACAGTTACATTTAAAAATGATAAATGTGAGAACTTTTAAACAAACGGTTAGAAGTTTTTGTTATCGATCGAAATCCGAATTAAAAGTTGGCTAAGGATATTTTACGAGCCAATCATGACTGACTTGATCTTCGTTTATTGGTGGTCATACCTAGTAATGATTGCCCAAAATTATTATAAAATGACTTATGAATGTTTTGTAAAACTTTACTACTGCTGAATAAGTTATATTAATGTGTTATTGGTTTGACAATTCCCTTAAGTAGTGGACGGACTTTAACTCCGGGTATCTGAACCATGTACTGTATTACGGGTGACTGGACCATGACTCCAGCTATCTTTAGTCTGGGTGACCGGACTCACTGGCAATTTCACTGGATACCGTATTCACATGTTTTTATCAACGCAAGGTCACCGCTGTCCGCTGTTGATAGTCAGGTTTACCTTTCAAGATGGCGCATGGAACTGTGAAGGGGACTATTGGAAACAAGTTGACAACAAAACATTGTTGAAGTCTATTAGGCGGTCTTGGTTTGTCTGCATGATGCAAAACTTTGATGTCACATTCTGTGGAAAACACTATTGACATAGGATAGTTTGGGAATATTGTCATGTGAAAAACCTTTCGAAATTTTTTTCCTAAAATGTATGTGGAATATCAGTTATATTGCAGGATTGAAGAAAGAGCTGCAGAAGATGTACCCAGTCCCTGAGTTAGACAAAGATGGAAGTGATAGTATGGGCAATGATGAACAAGTGTTTCATATATATTATAAGGTATGAAAGTACCTAACAATTGAGTTATTCAGACGTATGTGAGTAGACTTCTGTACTAGTTTAAGAGCCGATACCAATCAGATTCGAAACCTCAGATTCACGTATCATACTTTAATTAGTGTAACTTCTCCCTAATGGTATGTTTTCCCACTTCAGACCACCTGTCATTCCCTAGAGTATCATTTCTTTGTTTAACAGTTGCACATGAGAAGACACATATTAAGCATGGATATATAGAACTCAAACAAAGAATATTATTCTAAAGAGAATGACACTTGGACAGAAATGGGTAAACATTACACAAACTGAAGACAAATTAGGTCTATAGAGGTTTTGCACTATCACGTGACGGCAGGCATGTTAGATGGAAGGAACAATACAATTGTTTTAAACGAGAAAGAATTCAATTCCCAAGAGCAAAGTGATTTCATTTTTCTGCCAACAAACCACAGGCAGCCCAAGCTATATTCAGGGCTGTAGCCACTATGATGCAAATGAGGCAGTTGCCTCTGTAAATTTTCACAAATGCCCCTATACTCTATTATAATCACATTTTCGAGGGTCTCAATTTCAAAAATGTTCGGGGGGGGGGGGGGGGGGGGGGGGGGATATAATGCTCCCAAAACCCCCTAGTTCTAAAGACTCCCCCTTTGCCGCTCTTTTGCCTTGGTAAAGATTTTGGTCTGGCTACGGCCCTGGTATTATAGGCACCAACACATGATGGCGCAAAACCTCTATTGACACCTCAATATCAATTCCTTGACAAAGTCATGTGACTATCTGCCATATACATACATACAGTATGGTTATTTAAATGACTATCTTCTGACTTTATCTCAAGTTTCTTTTGCTAGTACAGTAACTGTTGTACAGTACTGATTGCAATTCAATGTTTCTTATCCTGCAGGGTAAAACAGGGAGTTTAGTAGAACTGGGTCCAATCAGTGTGGCATATTTTGTAGTGTTTCTGTACCTTGCCTTTTCAGTGGGTGAGTAATATAATAATAAATGTACTTATATTAGTTAGTTTGGTATGGCTAAAAATACATACATGTAATGGCTGCCCAATGGCTAGGCATGATGATGATGACTGTCGACCACAGACTAATCATTTCATCATGTTTGCCCTTTTGCAACAAACAGTCGTGCAGATATATGGATTTGATAACTAATCAATTCTGCTCAAGGTCCCTTGGGAAAGGTTCTGCTTCGTATCTTGAAATCAAAAATATATCTTATGAGGGAAAAAAAGTATTTTTGAAAAGGTTTTGGATACAACATTAGTAATCCGGCAAAAAATAATTAAATGAAGGAAGTTCAAGTTTTTTCTGCCATCTAGAACCAATCAAGTGTCAGTGTATATCTATATAATTATCTCAAATAATTGACATATTTTTATAAATTCATTTACCTCGAAACAATCCCTCCAAGTCAAAGTTGGATTTCATGCATTCATCCATTCACAGCATTTTGTCAAGACCCCACCTTGACTTGAAGTTTTGATTGTTTTGTGGCCTCAAGCGAATTAAGGAAAGTTGTTTTGAGGACATTGAATTGACATTTTCACTCCTACAGCCAAGATTGATATGGTCAAGTCCAAGTGGGGTTTAGCCTTCAGTGCTGTCATTACCGTCATGGCTTCTTTGGCTATGGCAGGAGGAGTCTCTACATTCTTTGGTTTCGTACCAACTTTGGACAGCAGGTAACAAGAAATTCTCTGATCCCTGGCATTACGTGTATCTTGATATCAAACATTATTATATAGTTAGGATAGTATGCGCACCCTGATTGGTCGAAAACTGTGCTTTATTAGTGAATGGAGCACTTTGGAAGCGCCGTAAGCACTCAAGAAGTGTGCATACACTTCTTTTGTGCTTACGTCACTTCCTACGTGCTTTATTACTGAATGGAGCACGGAAAAAGCTGTTTTATTTGTTAATTACCACCAGAATCTATTCAGTTCATACCAGGGACATAGGCAGGTAGAAAGGCGGGGCAAAGGGGGCCATACCCCCCTTCCCTTTGAAGGAAAAAAATGGCAGCCTTTCAGAATTTACATGGTAATTTTGAATTTTTTATTTTTTCAAACATGAAACATACGTTATGCCATTTTTTTGCTTCCGTTTTTTGGAAGCTCAAGCAAAATAGAAGACTTTTGAACTTGTGCTCCCACTTTGGAAAATCTTTCCTAAGCCCCTGCATACATGTGGTTCCTTTTGTTGGCCTAATAAACACTATCTTACAAATTTCAAAGGGATAATAATTATGAAAAAAAATGAATTTGAAGATACATGTAATTCTGGTGTTAGTGGTATGCTACACTTATACAAGACTGTCTTCTTAATAACAATTTAAGTGAAATCATTGTCTGTTGATTATAGTGAGGTGTTTCCATACCTTGTTATCATGGTTGGAGTTGAGAACATTTTGGTCATTACTAAAAGTGTGGTGTCGACACCAGTTGATTTAGATGTCAAGATAAGAGTTGCTCAAGGTATTTTTATGATACTTAATTTTCTTCATTTCAATAGTTTGTCCTTCGTTTGTTTGTTTGTCCGTTCATTCATTCCTTTTGCCTAGAGCAGTTCTGGATAGGCCCTATACAAATTGTTATTCCTTCCTACTTTACTTTCCACCTTTCTTTTTTCCTTTTTTTCTATCTTCGTTTTTTTCCATCATTCATTCATTTTTTCTTCGCAGGTTTGAGCAAGGAGGGAAAGTATATGCTAAAGAATCTAGGTACAGAAATGTTTGTGCTTGGACTGGGCTATTTTACATTTGTTCCAGCCATTCAGGTACGTTATCATGATTAAAGATATGCAAGTTCATTAGAGTGCTTACCATCATCCCTAGAGTCTCATGTATAATTTTGTTGTGTCTCTCGTAGCCTGCAGAGCAGGCATTCTTGTGATGGGTTTGAGGAAGAATCAGGCTTTTGGGGTTTCTGTTTCAACTACTTGCCTTTTTTGCTTGGTTTCAATTCTCACTTATTCCAAATTTCCAAATTTCCCCCAAAACCCCAGTTTTTCCCCAAACCAACAAGAACGCCTGCTTTGCAGACTACAGAGTATGTCTCTCGTCATCCCTAAGCTCCAGCACAGCTGCTATTAGTGTTGTTATGATTCAAGAATTTTTCTCTTGATTCTCTGGTTTTACTCATTCTTCAAACTTCAACATGCTAAATCTTAATTGAATCTGTGAATTAACCAAACCAAGTCCCTTCATCAGCCAAGGGGTTGCTTTAGGGTTCAATGAGATTAAAGGAAGTAGCATTTATTGACTACACTATATTTCTTTCTGTTTAGGAATTTTGTCTCTTTGCTTTTATTGGTCTTCTTACTGATTTTTTCCTACAAGTTTTCTTGTTTGCTACAATCCTGTCTATTGACATCAGAAGAATGGAGGTAAATGTTATATTTTAAATTCATAAAGCCCTTTGTAAGGCCTGTTTGCCTGAGGATGATCGTAAAACTAGGATCTTCCTTGAAGACGAATCAACCTATCGGTTATATATATGTATTGCTTTCTATTTCCTTGCACATCGGCAGGCTTCATTCGGGTACTAGGATACTCCTAGCAGTAGGATCATCCTGTCTCACAGATAGGAAGATTTTAGCATCAGGTATAAAGTTCACACTTCTCCTCTAAAGGAATGGTTGACTGACCTGCAAGGAACATCCTAGCAGGCTTTGATCCAATCTGTTATTTTACTATGAGTGAGGGTCCCATTTCACCCTCCTGTACACCAACAGCTGTTGTACTGTACTTGTTCTATCATTGCTTTTACATCAAGGTATTATTATTTCCATTAATCACTCATTTGATTAATATATTCATTATTCTAGATATCAGACCTTCAAATGATATCCATCCAGCAAGCACTCATAAGACAAAACAATCAGTCACAGAAGAGCAGCCGTCCACAAAGAACTCCTCAACTGGACCCCATGACCCCTACCACGCCCCATCTTCTACCCCCCTTACCTCCTGATTCGGTCAAGTCACCACCTCAGTGTCCTATCATACCCAGTAAAAGTAAAAGACTAAAGCTGGCTTATTTTTGGGCAAGGACTAGGATGGTACAACGAGCTTGTATGGTGAGGCTTGATCTATTTGTTTTATTCCTTCCTTCCTTTATTTACGCAGCCTTCCTCCCTTTTTCTCTCTGTGTGTTTGTTTGTTTAATTTCTTTTTCTCTCTCTTTTCTCCTTTTCTCTCTTTTTCCTTTCTTTTTTCCTCTCTTGTTTCGTTGCTTTTTTTCTGCATTCGTTTCTTCATTACATTATTTTTTCTCTTCTCTCTCTTGCTTCCTTCCATCTTTCTTAATTTCTTAATCCAATTATAATTTACCTTAAGAGTAATCTTTACATAACAATACCAACATAACTTACAATACCGACTAATTACCGTTGTTTACATTACGACCGAACCAGAGGTATAAATACCATTGACTGTGTCTCGTTTTCTCAGTGGACTCTGAAAATGACTTCCGTTCAGGTTGTCGAAACGTCAGTCACCACCAACAACAGTCTTTCTCAATACTACACTTACCCTGACCATCACACTTCACAACAAAGTAATCTTAAGTCATCCAAACAACTACAATTTTGTGTTTTATCTTTTATTAATCTGAACAGGTTTGTGCAGTGCTGTATTTCATGTATATGGTATTCTACTCAGTCACACCCAGCACATTCCACAACCTGACAAGCGACGTTCCACCAGACCAAAATGCAAATCAAGACATCACCTTGAGTAAACTTATTCAGCAAATCATAACAGATAATGTCAACGAGGAACCAAAACACCAAAATATTGAAGAAGACAGACTGAAAAAAAGAAAAGAAAACTTCTGGGAAGGAAGTGATTCAAGAAGGATTTGGATGGGAAGTGAACCTGTAAATGTTGCAGGGTCATCATGGAAGGGCTTGTCGAAACGTCACTGGCCTCAGCTATTGAGTTATTATAATATAAGCCTCATGGGAAGGTAAGTTGGGAATTGATTTATCTGTATGTGTTTGTTGAATGCCTTATGTGCAACTGAGCATGAAGAGGCTAGTCGAAGTGTGAGGTGGTCTATCTTGGAGCTTAAAGTGCACATGAACCCTTCGACAATACTTTCAGTACTGATTCTACACAAAGTAAATAGTTGAATGGTAAAATATTTCTTGATTTGAGTGATGCGTTTCTAAGTTATGAAGGTTTATACTTCCAATATGCTAATGAGTGTGACGTCTATTAAGGCTTAATCAAATGTACAAAATCGAACTGGTTCATAGAAACAGTATTTAAAAAGCATCATTATTTTACTCATGGTTTACATGAAAGCTATTTACAATTTTTATTTTCAAAATGGCCAGCATTTAGTATTATTAGTTACAACAAAAACACTCAAATACCTTACCTGACGTCATCATCATTAACGTATTGGAAGTATAAACCTTCATAACTTAAAGACGCATCACTCAAATCAAGAAATACTTTACCAATCAACTATTTACTTTATGCAGAACCAGTACTGAATGTATTGTCAAAGGGTTCATTTGCACTTTAATGCAACTTTTCCATCCATTTCATCCCATCCATCCATCTCAATCAATTCATCGATGTCCTATCCATCAATTACTTACCCATCTGGGACATCCATCCATCCATCATTATATTCCAGAATGGAAACCACGTTGTTCAGCTATGAATGTTTTACGATTTACAGCGTTCTACTCGGTCGTGGATTTCGGGTCTCCGTCCGACAACTTATATAATTGTTTTTAAAATATTGAAATATCTTTTGTTAACAGATACATCAGTATCCTTCCTCCAGTCCACCTAGGCTTCTCCATGGACGTCCAATCGTTARGGTCTCTTGGAGTAAGAACACAAAAGTCAAAGGCCGACTCCACTAAACCCTACCCGCCTCAGACAATCCAGGACCCAGGAGAATCGAACGAAATGCATCTCGATCCACAAGACCCCGAATACTACTTGAACGCCTTATATTGCGTAGTGTTGGGTGTGCTTGTCATGTTCATTCTATTCTTTGTCTGTAAATATCTCAATGACATGCAAATTCGCCCAAAAACGTTCAGCAGAAGGAACCAATGGTTAAAGCATGAAGAACTAGTTGACGCGATTCCCCTCAGCCTCAAGGGACATCCTCAGGTAAAGATAGTTTAAAACCACAGCTGACTATTCTAGGGGACCATGGTACGTCATATACCGCCATGCTGGTTTGCTATACAAAGCATTCTTTACAAAGCTTCTCTGGTTAGATTAACCAAGATGGCACCTTGTTATTTATATCTCAAGGGATTTTTCGGTCATGTGGTTGCACTCCAAGACTATTTTTTTACATTTTCATTACTGGCAGGTTTTTGATTATTTGTATTATTTGATCCTTGAGATTGATCTACCAGTTCGTAGATGCTTATAAATAAATAAAATAAAAAAAGGACGATGCTGCTACTTTATTAGCCGATTTGAGATTCGAAGACTTCGGTCTTGAAAAAATCCAATGTACTCCGTAGCCATCATTTTAGTGATGAAGTCCATTGGTAAATGGTCGAAACGTCTACTTAACAGAAAACAAATATTATTGATCTAACTCATCACATTTATTTGTATCTACTTGTAGACTGTGGAGCACATGAAATGCACCATGTCCAGTATCGTCAGTATCTGTCTCAGTGGGCAGATTCGAGTTTGGGACAGGAACACTGGTGAATGCTTGAAGGTCATCAACAGGAGTGGGTAAGCAAACACCTCTCTACCTTGGGCGTAATGTTTCCCATTTCAGACCACTTTCCATTCCCTTGGTAATAAAATTATTCCTTTGAGTTTTATAAATATTCGGGTTTTTTTTCTCTTGCACAACCTTAAGCAAAGAAATAATATTCTAGGGAATGACACGTGATCTGAAATGGGGAAAATATTACACAAGTCTATTCCAAACAAATTTCACTAGACATCTCGAGAGGGGAAAACGTATAACGTATGAAAAAAATCCATTGCAGAATCAGATTGCACAGTTTGTAGTTTGTTTATGCAAATTTTCGCGTCGATGCTCAGTGCATTTGGTGGACTACTTCGACGGTGTGGTGGCTAACTTGAATCGCAAGGCATTATGGTCGTCCAGGGGGCAAAACGAAACGAAGATGCTGAAATGTCGACCCACATTATTTGAGAAATTTCCTCAGTTGTGGAACTGTTCATTTATAATAATTTATCTTTGTCAAATTGTCTTTTCGTAAACCGCAAATGGCAATCGGCGCTATTATTGTAACAAAGCTTTGTCTATTTGTCCCCTGGACGACTCATAATGCCTTGTGATTCAAGGTATCGTCGAAGTAGTCTTTTAGGAGGACAAACTCAAGTTGCCGTCACTAACTCACAGGGTCTGCGGAGCGTGAGGTGGGCGGGGCCTCGGCAAGCATTTGGTACATGAAAATTTCAACTCCTGTAAATAATAGAAACGCATTTGACAACGTTTTTTTGTAGTGAAATACCCATACCAAGACGTAGACGTAACAGATCAGGACATGACAAGAAATCTTTAAGCCATGAACCAGATAAAAACTTTACAACAACAAGATACTTCGAAAGCCTTGAAAACGAGGCTCCTTATGACAACACGCATAGTATCAGTCCAGATGTGTTTTCTGACTCGGATGGCACAACTGCTCAACTAAACGCATCAGGTACGTTAGCCTTTCTTAATCTCTCCTCTCCTCTTCTCTCCTTTCCTTTCCTCTCCTTTCCCATTCCTTTCTTTCCTTTAATTTTTCCTTTTTTCGTTTCGTTTCGTTTTTATTTTCTTTGGTTTGCTTTTTTTTTCTTTTTTCCTTGCTTGTTTCCATTACTCTTTCTTTTTTTCTGATAATGACTAGCGGTTACTAGTTGGGACTGTTTTGGTGCGTCAAATCAAACAAATGAATAACAAGGAACCTTGAAATCATTAAAATTGTACTGACGTTTCGGGCTTCCTTCGTCGGAGTAAAAGATTAGTCTGCCTGCATGAGGTTCTTGAGTTCACTACTTATTTCATTTTACCTTCAGGCGACGAAAATGTCTACTTTCCCATAAAGAACGAAGAGGATAATCTCAAAAATAGAAGTGGTTCTATAGAGTCTAGTCCCAGCGACAATTCTGGCTACGACTTTGGACCGTTGTGCCAACAAGGGGGTTCCCCAAGGGTCAGGTCTTGGTCTCCTCGCTGGAGCTCTTCGCGTTCACTAAACAGCTGGTCGAGCGACGACGAATACCCAGACCATTTGTTTTCGTGTTCAGATGAATCCCCCAAACTTAATATTGCTGGTGCAAGGCACGATGGACTGCACAGAACGGCTGCTGTGTGGTGTCTAGACTGTAGAGGGGATTTATTAGTAACTGGATGCAGTGATGGCTCTGTTGAGGTACGATTAGAATCGCTATTTCATTTTATGTYGAGGAACAATTAGTGGCACATTATCTCTCTCGTTACTGAGTCTTATTTGAACGAAGCGAGTGATCGACAGGGTATGCGGTGGAAAGCCGAGAAAAAGTAAAGAATTGGTTATATCTACATGTACAGAATCAAACGGCGAGAGAGAATAATGCGCATCCATCAATAAATGATTTTTGCGCGCGGCTCTGTCAACGCGATAAGATTTTTTTTTACATAAAAGCCACTCCCATCCACAAAAAGGCAATACGGCAAAAACACTTCATTGTGTGCGAGCCATCGTCTTCAAGCTTACAGTGCTTATCAGATCGTCATTTGTAGGTTCTTACGCTTGCGAAGTTTTCTCAGTGTGGTCATGTCCTCTTATATGTCTTCATCACAATGTAAAACAGATGTTACAGCAAAACAAAGAATCGCGTGGTGTAACCACCTCTTTGGTTCAAACTTGAACCCTAGTTTTACTTTTTCTTCAGCTTTAATATTTGACATATATTTTCATTTCATTTTTTAGCTTTGGGGTTTAAGCTCAGGTCGACAGATTTGTCTGTACTGTGAGAACAGACATGGTGTCACTAGTGTAGCATTTCTTCCTGACAGGTATTTACTACTCCTATTATATAAATGACATTTTCCCAGTTCTTATCCACCTACACCAGCTGATCTGAGATCGTGACCTAGAAATGACGTCACGTGTAATGAAGCCTGTGAAAATGAGCAGCGGAAAATAAAAACCTGTTAAAATTCATTAGTTAACATGTTGCTGTTATCAACCTCTTATTAGCAACGTTTTTTATATATACATATTTGGTGGCCTGGAAATCCATCATTTCAAGAGGAAAAGTGACACCTCAGGTTTGGAAATGTTCTCGATTCTGATTGGCTAACATTTCTCTCAGATTCATTTCCCTAGATTGAACCCTATTTATGTTTTACTTTTAAACAATTCCCCATAAGGATAAGAGTATTATAAGGTACCATATACACAAAACCCAGCTCATAGAAGGAATAGGAATGGGAGAAACCCGGAGAAACTCCTTGGTGGTAAGGGAGAGTAGAACAAAACTTAATGGTACATGTCGGTATGGAGACATTAAACCAAAGACCTGACCAATGAAGCCTCAGCAATGAGAATTAAGAGAAAGTTGGACTGTATACCACTCGTTTCTCTATGACAAACCAATTGACACCCTAAGACCTCAGTGTAAAAGACGTGCCTCCATGTCACGCCTTCCTTGGTTGCTTCTGGTGTCGCCGCACTCTACTCATGCCATAATACCTCTCATTGTATATGTGGTGTCTTCAGGAATCAAACAATTATCTTACGTCTACACCTTCCATGCCACCATGTCATGCCTTCCTTAGTATATGTAGTGTATGCTGGAGTCAAACAAACGACCCAAACCCAAAGAACCTTAATAAGTGAAAGGTGAATGTATTGCCGTCCCCCACCCCGCCAGAGCGTCACTCCCCCTGCCCCCCTGCCCCGCTGTTACCCCCACCGCCCTCATTCACCCCCTCCCAGCTCAAAAAAAAAAAAAAAAAAAAACCAACAACAACAAAAAACACTCAAATTTTAATTTTTCTTTCTTTCGCAGACCTCAGCTGGCCGTCGCACGTATCGATGGTACGTTAGATTTCTTAAGTCTTATCTCCCCTGTGTTACCCACGGTCATCAATGCATCTCCTATCAAGAGGTCATCACCAAGGACAACGCGAAAAAATCCAAATCACGTGTCTACAACCATCAGTCCCACAACCACTGGGACAAGTACGACAGCCGAATCTACGCATGCTTTACCTGTGATGTGCAGCTTAACACACAGAGTGCGGGCTCATCATCAACCTGTTAGTGTGATGACGGTTACACAAGAAAGGGTTGTGACGGGCAGCCATGACAGGACACTCAAGGTAAGGCATATACAATTGTCATACATCTTGCCTTCTGATTGTTGAGCGTGTGAAGTTGGCATTGCAATGCATTGTGGGTATGTTTTTGGGAACGAAAAAGACACCACATTGGAAAGATGTCCCCTAAAACAGCCCCGCAATACTTCAATGACAACTCGAACCAGTCTTTTTCTCGACCTCGGAACGTCCAACACAGCGGAAACCCCTAATCAGTGGACACCACGCAAGGTATTGAAGATGATGGCTTAATAGACCCCTTGCGACGTCAAAGCAGCTCAATTTGGAGGACAAAACAAAAGAATTTCAATCTCYTGAAAATTTGAAACCTATTGTTATGTCCTCCACATTAAGCTGCATTCCGACGTGCTGCAAGGGGTCTATAGAGGTACGAACGTAAAGTGCTACCTCTATTTAGCGGGCCGGTTATTAAGCGGACACCCTATATTAAAGCAACATTGGCTCGGATCCTCGAAWTCTTCTTCCCGCATATTTACTGTAAAATCAACCTCTGCATATTCAGCAGACACTAGGGGATGGTCTCGAAAGTGTTCGCTTAAGAGGTACCAGCGTAAAGGTCTGCCGCTATTAAGCGAACTCGTTATTAAGCGGATATCCATTATTAAAGGAACTCTGGCTTGGGTCATATATATATATATATATACATACACATATTCACTGTAAATTCAACCTCTGTTCTGCGGACGCCAGGGGAGATCCCGAAGGTGTCAGCGTAATAGAGGTACCGCTGTATTTCGTACTAATCAGTGTTCGTCTTTTAAATATCTACAGGTGTTTCGGACTGACGAGTGTGTTTGTATCTTCACATTACATGGTCACAGTGATGGTATAACAGCATTAAAAATACTAGAGGTACATAACCGTAATAACGTATAGCTGATTTAGTTTATGTATGAACGTGTTGGGATGGGGCGGGGGGCTGTGAATACCCGCACAAACGATAATTAAACTTATAATAAACATTRATTTTACAATCATCACTTCTCGTAAGGGGCTCTTCCGTGAGGTTCCCTCCACACGCACTACCACTACATTCTATATTTACAACATACAACACTCAGCTCACATGTTGGTTTTTACGGAGGGAGGAAAACCGGAGGACTCGGAGAAAAACCCCCGTGGCAAGGGAGAGAACAACACATCAAACAAAATCAACTGTAAAATTTATAGACTKCACAACTGTCAGGGGGTCTTTTTGTAATACGTTATTCTTTTCAAGAAGCACATTTAAGAAGCATTTGAATTTGATGGTAACCGGTGTTTGTAACAATATGCGAAACACCAAGACTTCAAATTATTTACCAAGACTTAA